GTTAAAAACAACCTCTCAAAGTCAAACGTGTAAATAAAAACACAAATATCAGTGAACAGAATAAAATAAATAAACATTTCACACAAAGACTATTTTCTGTTTCCATCAGTAGAAACCACCAATCATCATCATCATCATCATCGTCATCATCATCATCATCATCATCACCATCAGGAGGAAGAGGAGGTCAGAGGTCAGCACAGATCGATGGCCTCTGATTGGCTGAAGTCACTCCTGACAGACCTGATTTACCTCGTCCACTGATTTAATGTGAGACAGCGTCTATCTACTTCCTGCTGTCGTCAACATGGATGATGTCATGAAGGAGATGATGTCACTGAAGAATCAAAGAGAACCACAACAGAAGGAATAAGAGGAGAACCCACCGGATGCAACAGAAGGGTACGAATCAAAGAAACTCTCGTGGAACTAAAAGAACTGTGGGAACCCCAGGAAGCAGAGGGGCGAGAGCCAGAACCAGAGGAACCGTGGGAACCCCAGGAAGCAGAGGGGCGAGAGCCGGAACCAGAGGAACCGTGGGAACCCCAGGAAGCAGAGGTGCGAGAGCCGGAACCAGAGGAACCGTGGGAACCCCAGGAAGCAGAGGGGCGAGAGCCAGAACCAGAGGAACTGTGGGAACCTCAGGAAGCAGAGGGGCGAGAGCCAGAACCAGAGGAACCATGGGAACCCCAGGAAGCAGAGGGGCGAGAGCCAGAACCAGAGGAACTGTGGGAACCTCAGGAAGCAGAGGGGCGAGAGCCAGAACCATGGGAACCCCAGGAACCATGGGAACCCCAGGAAGCAGAGGGGCGAGAGCCCGAACCAGAGGAACCGTGGGAACCCCAGGAAGCAGAGGGGCGAGAGCCGGAACCAGAGAAACTGTGGGAACCCCAGGAAGCAGAGGGGCGAGAGCCGGAACCAGAGGAACCATGGGAACCCCAGGAAGCAGAGGGGCGAGAGCCCGAACCAGAGGAACCATGGGAACCCCAGGAAGCAGAGGGGCGAGAGCCGGAACCAGAGGAACCATGAGAACCCCAGGAAGCAGAGAGACGAGAGCAGGAACCAGAGGAATCCTGGGAACCAAAATATTTGAACCTTACACGTAAAAGATGATCTTTGAGGTTCTGGTCTGACCTGCACTCGATGAACCACTGTCGGATCTGTTCCTGCAGAGTCTCCCTGACGTCGGTTCCCTCCACGTCTAGAATCGACTGCTTCACTCTGAGTTGAGCTCTCTGGTATTCCTCCTCGTTCTGATCCTGGATCAGCTTCCGATCCAGTGATGCCCGCCGGGCCTGCAGCTGAGCTGAAGTGGGACCAGGGGGCCCCGCTGGGATCTGAGGAACCAAAAGAACCAGGAGAACTATAAGGAACTATGACACACCATCGGGAGAACCAGAGACGAAGAAGGTAACCAGGGGTGGTATCAAATGAATAAGATGGGGGAACCATAGAACCTTTGAGGATATTTGAGAAACCAGGGAATAACAAGAACCAGAGGTACCAGAGGAACCATGAGGAAAAAGGGAGCTCTGGGAACTAGAAGAACTAAAGAATGGGAAGTAAGGGAACTAACAGAACCACTGGAAGAACAAGAGGAGGGTGATGAACCAGTAGAACCAGGAAGTGGAACCAAAGACATTATGAAAACATATAAGGAAGCAGGGAAACCAGAGGAAAGATCAGAGGAACCAGAGGATCTAAGAGAAACCATGGAAGGGTAGAGAGGAAGCAGTGGATCTATGAGGAACCATGGGAGGGTAGAGAGGAACTAATGAATCTATGGGACGCTGAAGAACCTGAGGAACCAGAGTGAGTGGATTTTGTGTCACTGTATAAAAGAACGTTACCATTCCAAGAGAAATCATCTCCTGGGTTCTCAGAGTGTTGGTGCGGTTCCTCTGACTGTGACCTCTCCACACCTGAAACACAACAACAATAACAACAGACAAACAACTATCTATTTTTTTTTTATTTAAATGTTAAAACTTGAATGTAAAAATGATGAAAGGTGAATATTCAGATCAAACATTGTGAGTCAGATGTGACACCTTCTGGATCTGGATCGCAGCCTGATCCGGGGTCAGGTTTGTGGGTTTCCAGGTGCGGCTGTGGAAGCCTCTCTCTGATTGGAGGAGCTCCTTCATGAACTGGGCTCTGATTCGTCCCTGCCGGACGCGCTCAGACACCTGCAGCAGACGGACCGCCTTCTCCAGACTCATGGACTGGACTGGACTCACCTGGATGGACCAGAGAAAGTTCAGCAGTCAGATTCTGACTCTACGTGATTACATCGGCATCAAACCAGCGGATCACCGACTCCCTCTGACCGTCTGATTGGCTCGGACTGTTTCCAGGATGTTGGCGAACTTCGCCTGCAGCTGAGTCTTCTCTCTGAGGAAGTATCGGGGTACGGGGATCTCCAGGTCCTTCTGCAAAAACACACACACACACACACACACACACACACAGAGCAAAATCAAGTGTTACGGCTGCAAGTCCAGCCCTGGGTCTTCAGGGGTCAGGTCTCCATGGTCAGGTCTGAAGGGTTCCGATTGGGTGGGATCAGATCAGGAGGGGTCAGGTCTGGATGGGTCACATCTGGAAGATCAGGTCTGACAGAGTTCTGGACTCACCGGGGTCATCTTCAGGTCTAGCAGCAGGTCATCAAAGTAGTGGAACTCGGAGAGCTCCAGCTCCACCATCTGACTCTTGAGCTCCAGGATCCGACCCGTCAGCCCGTCCAGAACCACCCGGACCGCCCGCCTCCTCTGGGGCTGCACCAGCTGCTCGTAGACCTCCTCCAGACTGCGGAAGATCTGCAGGTACTTAAGGTACAGAATGGCCCGGTCCTGGAGGAGCTGCAGCCGGTCCACCTGAGGACCAGGAGGCTCAGCAGGAAACTCCTCCTGAAGGAGATCCTGGAGAGCGCCATGAGCCGCCGCCCACTTCCTGTCAGACATAAGAGGCTGAGGTCAAACAGAGCTGCAGCTCCTCCGGACTCCATTTAAATAATCAGTGATTTTAGTCTGTGTAGATGCAACATGTGTCCACAGCTAGCTGGTGACTTAAGGGTTAAATTCCACAGAGAATTGAACAGAGACATGTCACAGAGACGTGAGCAGAGACATGAGCAGAGACATGAACAGAGACATGAACAGAGACATGAGCAGAGACATGAACAGAGACATGAACAGAGACATGAGCAGAGACATGAACAGAGACATGAACAGAGACATGAGCAGAGACATGAGCAGAGACATGAACAGAGACATGAGCAGAGACATGAGGAGAGACATGAACAGAGACATGAACAGAGACATGAACAGAGACATGAGGAGAGACATGAACAGAGACATGAGCAGGTTAATGGCAGTTAAATCACTGATTATTTGAATGGAGTCTGGTGAGTTGGTGTTTCTCTCTGTAAATGAAGGCTGAACCTGCTGAGACTGATCTCTCTGTTTGTGTCCTGCAGCAGGAGGAGCATGAGGAGGAGCATGAGGAGGAGCATGAGGAGGAGCAGGAGGAGGAAGAGGAGGAGAAGCAGGAGGAGGAGGAGCAGGAGAAGGAGGAGGAGTATTATAGTATGTGGGGGAGGTGACGGGGGAGGAGCACTGACTGATCTGAGGACACTGACAAGAGAAACTTAGAGACGTTCAACAACCTCAGCTGCTCCACACGTCAACTACATATTAATTAATACAAATAAAAAGTCACATTCCTCATGGTGAAGCTATGGGAACCTTTTTAGGCTCTGTAAGTAATTGGTTCTTTACAGAACCTTTACTATCAAGTCATGTGACAAACCTTTTTATCACCACTGTGGAACCTTTAAGTTTCAGCTCTTGAGGTTTCACAAAGAACCTTTTGTCTCAGGGTTCTCTGAAGAACCACTGCAGGTTCTGTGACAGAGTTCTCTGGAGCCTTTAATGGTTCCACCAGGAACCTTTCATCAAAGGTCCTGAGAGTATCAAAAGGTTCTCCACAGACCTGAAGGTGCTGCCATGGTTCTCCTTCCTCGGAGCACCTGTGAAGAACTTTTTCATGAGCGTGTGATGACGTCACGTCGTGAGACCAAACTGTGAATCAGGACTCGCTGAGAGTGTCTGTCCGTTGTCATGGAAACACCGACACACGGTGAAGTCTCCAGCAAAGTGAGCAGAAATTACACTTTACCTGTGTGACGTCATCGCGGGACGTTGCAGCTGTCGGAGTTTGGGATCCGCGTGCAACTGGACTCGGAGCTGAGCCGGTTCCGCCGGTCCTCCTCCTCCTCCTCCTCCTCTTCTTCTCCTGTTTTTGTGTGCAGCGGAGCGGAGCAACGCCGCGCATGCGCACCAAGAGTCCTCGGACAGGATTTATGACAAGAGAGGAGGAAGAGGAGGAGGAGGAGGAGGAGAGACATTTTCATGTTTAATTAAAATGTTATTTGAAGTTTTATTGTTTATTTATTCATTCATTTATTTGTTTGTTTGTTTATTTATCTTTTGGTTGTATTTATATTTTTATTCTATTTTTTGTTTTTTTTTTAGATTTATGATTTAAATAGTTTTATTTATTACATTTAATTTTAAATGTTTATTACATTTACATTTATTTTACATTTTTTACACTAAATGAATCATTATTTATTAAAACGTTTGATTTTCATTATCTTTGTTTAAAATTATTCATTATTTAGATGTTTTAACGTTTTATTCAAATGTCATTGTACATGTTTTAGTGATTGATCCTTTTTTATTATTTATTGAATTATTTATTATATTCTATTTTTAGATGAGAACCACTGCAGTTATTTTTTAATAAGTTCTACATGTAATAATAATAATAATAATATTTAATTATAGTTTTATTCAATTAATTTTTATTTACAAAAACCATCAGACAGAAATTATGTTTTTATTATTAATAATAATTTAACCTGAATTACGACTTTTCCAACATAAAATTCTGACTTATTATATTTTATTATAAATATATAAAATAAACTTTTCCTTCAGTCTGTTTTCTCCTCTTCATCATCCTCCTCTTCCTCCTCTTCATCATCCTCCTCTTCCTCCTCCCAGCTGTGCCGCTCTCAGCAGAAACATCCCGCAGTAAATCACGCAGAGCTGCGTGTCTGTGGGCGTTTCTTCTTCTGCTGCTGCTGATTAAAGTGCAGCAGCACTCAGTCTTCGTCACACTCAGTCCGCCGGACTCACAGGACTCTGACCCGCCTCAGGACCCGGACTCAGACCCTCCTGCTGGACCCGTAAGTCTTGAAACTCTTTGCACAGTGAATGAATGCAGTGTCTCATGTCTCTGCTGCAGGTCACAGACCTCAGCCCAGACTCCATTTGGAAATACGTCATTTCTCAAGTTTTCACAGACTGGCACGCGCACACGGAGCAGCAGGAGACATATAACATGTTGTTATTGATCAGTGATGTCCCGGGGTGTGTTCGGCTCATGGTCCGCTGACACATACCTCTTCATCTCAGAGAAACCTTCAGCTCCACAGGGACGTCGTTATTACATCACCTCCTGCAGCCTGAGTTAAAAACGGGACTTTAGTGGACGGAACATTTGTATGAAGTCTGAGACATGAGCCGAGCTGCAACCTGCGTCATGTTGGTCATCAAGGTGTAACACATGTCTTATAAACTGCTCCACTTCCCCAGTGTCAGGGTCTTATAACGGAATATAACAACAACAACAACAACAACAACAAATGTCTAACTTTTCAAACTTTTAAAACAAACTACCCAGAGCCGATCGAGATGTGACGTAATTCCAGCCTCCCTTTAAAAATGTGTCACTTCTTAAATTGTGACGTTTCCTCAAACTGCGCACTCTGCAGAATAAAACCTTTATACGTCACCCGTAACCTTTGATGTCCTCAGATGTGTTCGGCGTGCACGTGCTACACCAAACACTTGATTTCACTGAAATCTAAGTTGATCAATGCTCCTTCAAACAGCCCGCGGCGGCGAATTTAGGAGGACTTAAAATAAACGCGAAGCTGGTTCTAAAAGTGACGTATTTCAGTGGAAACACGCCGTCACTGGGTGTGACATGTGAGCAAGGAGAGAGTCGTGTTTATACTTGTACACTTTAATTCTTGTGCTGTGACGCGTGAATGGCCGTGACCGATGTAAGAATCCTTAACTCTGGGGAGTTTTTAACGGAGTTCGGCGAGTCGAAGTGCAAAGTGCACTTTGGTGGTTTATGGGGTTTTGATGGTGCGTTCAGGAGCCTCTGTGTGGGGTTTCACATTGACTGGGAACTCTGGTTTCACCGTGTGTCTGAGCTCTGAGTCCAAACTAAAACATTTCACCTCTTCATGTTCTCATGATGTGATGACGTCACACATTTCTTTGTTTTAAAGTGTGTTTGTGGATATTTAACTCTTCGTGAAACATCTGGAACGAGCTGCAGACAAACTGGTTTAATGGAGACGATGTTCATGAGTTACAAACTCGGAGCATTTGGAGCGTCTCACACTCAGTAAAATAAAGATTTCCTGTATTATAACGAGATATTTAGAAAATGTTTCGACACTCTGAACTCTTCTTCACGTGTTTTCTGTCCTCTGGCTGAACCACTGATTGTCTCATTGTTTCAGCTCGGCAGTAAACTTTTAATTTGAAGGTCGTGACCTTTCAGCTTGAAGTCCCCTGTTGAGATTTTATTTTCAGCTGAAGGTCCAATAAAACTCTTTTGTTTTGCTCCTCCTCCTCCTCCTCCTCCTCCTCCTCCGCACACACAGATGGTTCAGGGCATTTTGGCAGGGAGCACAAGCTTCTCGTCAGAGTACGTTTATCACTTTTAAAACTATTCACGTTATTGTTATCGATGTTTTTGTTTCTGAAATCTGAGAACAGGAAGTTGAAACAGCTTCTTCTTTGTTGGTGTTCAGATCAGATTGATGTCCTCAGTGTGAACCTCTGCAGAGCTGAGCTCTCAGTATTGATCTGTGATCACACAGACGTTATTGTTCCGTCAGCGTTTCCCATCAGTTCAAAGTGGTCCAGTTTTTAATGACGTCTGGATCGTTTGACCTCCACACATCTGTCCATCCGTCTGTCTGTATGTCTGTGTGTCCACCTGTCTGTCTATCTGTCTGTCTGTCTGTGTGTCTGTGTGTCCACCTGTCTGTCTGTCTGTGTGTCCACCTGTCTGTCTGTCTGTCTGTCTGTGTGTCCGTCTGTCTGTCTGTCTGTCTGTCTGTCTGTCTGTGTGTCCGTCTGTCTGTGTGTCTGTCTGTCTGTCTGTCTGTGTGTCTGTGTGTCCACCTGTCTGTCTGTCTGTCTGTCTGTCTGTCTGTGTGTCCACCTGTCTGTCTGTCTGGTCTCTTTAACAGGGCCCGGTATTTATGACCTGTGGGTGTGATCAAGAAGAGGGCGTCACTAACAGTTGCTGTCTTCCTGTTTACCAGGTGTGACCTCATCATCATGAGTCTGAGCACCAACGACCTCACAGAGCTCATGGAGCTGTGGGAGGAGCTAAACCTGACCGCCGCCGACCACGACAATCTGTCCCATGTGGAGGCGCTGCTGTGTTCAGGTGCCATCAGCCACGCCTCCTTCCTCCACATCCTCTCCGTCTTCTACATTTTCATCTTCCTGGTGGGCCTTGCCGCCAACGCCCTGGTGGTGTGGGTCAACCTTCGCTCCAACCAGAACCGCTATGAGACTCACCTGTACATCCTGAACCTGGCTGTAGCTGACCTGTGCGCCGTGGCCACGCTGCCGGTGTGGGTGACGTCACTGCTGCAGGACGGGCGCTGGTCGTTTGGAGAGGCCGTCTGTAAACTCACTCACCTGGTCTTCAGTGTCAACCTCTTCAGCAGCATCTTCTTCCTCACCTGCATGAGTGTGGACCGCTACCTGTCTGTCACGCTGTTTGCAGGCGCCCCCGACAGCCGAAGGAAGAAGGTGGTGCGGCGGCTGATCTGCGTCCTTGTTTGGCTGCTGGCGCTGGTGGCCTCCATCCCTGACACCTACTTCCTGCAGGCGGTCAAGTCGTCTCACCATGATGGGGCCATCTGTCGGCCAGTGTACCCGCCTGAAAACCCTCGGGAGTGGATGGTAGGTGTTCAGCTGAGCTTCATCGTGCTCGGCTTTGCCATCCCTTTCCCCATCATTGCCATCTTCTACCTACTCCTGGTGGCGGTGATTCCCCCCAGCTCGGACCAGGAGCGCCGCATCAGCCGCCGCATCATCCTCTCTTACATTGTGGTCTTCCTGGTGTGCTGGCTACCATTCCACGCTGTCCTCCTGCTGGACACGCTGTCACTGCTCAACATCCTGCCATTCAGCTGCCGGCTGGAGAACTTCCTGGACGTGGCGCTGCACCTGACACAGTGCTTCTCGCTGGTCCACTGCTGCATCAACCCCATCCTCTACAACTTCCTCAACAGGAACTACCGCTACGACCTCATGAAGGCCTTCATCTTCAAGTATTCCACCAAGACGGGGCTTGCCAGGCTCATAGACGGCTCACACGCCTCTGAGACGGAGTACTCTGCGGTTATGATGGACAATAGCAACCCAATGTGAACTCATCAAGACCTAGAAATTTGAAGACTCACTAACACTTTTCAGAACTTACTAATGCTTCTTTTGTTTGCTCCTGAAGGCGGTGATCCCTCGCAACAGCTTCCTTAACAGGAAGTACCGCCTGCCTCGAATACGTCTCAGATAAGATAAGATAAGATGAGACTGAGTACACGGTGGAAGCTGACCGTGGTCCCAATGTGACCTCGATTAAGACTTAGGAACACTTCTTAGTTCTTGCAAATGCTTCTTAAGACTTTCTAAACACTCCCTGTACCTGCTCCTGGCAGCTACGATCCTCTCGAGCTTGGACCACGAGCCTCGATGGTCCAACACCATGATGGTCTGTGGACAAGTCTCCTGATATGAAAGTCCACTTTCTATGACTTTCTATGACTCTGAAATAAAAACTTTTCCAGAATTTGGAGTAACACTTCCCTTGGGAATGTTGCACTTATTTACAACACTACATTTGTCTAGTAAGATTTTATTAATGACTTAAGAACACTAAGCACGACTCTGAAAAACTTCTCAAGACTTGGGAGTGCTTTGTAAAGACTTTTCAGGACTTGTGAATACTTTGTGTGACCTGTAAAAACTTCTCAAGACTTAGGAATACTTTGTATGACTTGGAAGCACTTTTCAAGACTTGCAAAGATTGCAAGATTTAGGAACCCTGTATCACTCGGAAGAACTTCTCAAGACTTAGGAATACTTTGTATGACTTGTTAAAACGTCTTAAGACTTACGAGTGCTTAGTGTGACTTGGAAAAACTTCTCAGGACTTAGGAATATTTTGTATGACTTGACAAGACTTTTTAAAGACTTTTAGAGAGTTTACAAGACTCGTGAATACTTGACTTGGACAAACTTTGCAAGACTCAGGAATAATTCGTATGACTTGTAAAAACTTCTCAAGACTTGAGAATACGACTTGTAAAAACTTCATTAGACTCAGTAATACTTTGTATGACCTGTTAAAACCTTTCAAGACTTGGGAACTTTTGTCACCTGACCTGTCTCACCATCAGAGGGGCCTCTGAGTCTCTGCAGGGAAACAGAGTTTATACCTTCAACGTGTCCGCTTTATATTCTGTGAATATATTTACTGTTTCCTGTTTAGTGATGAAGATGTTTCCTGTTTGGTGATGAAGATGTTTCCTGTTTAGTGATGAAGATGTTTCCTGTTTGGTGATGAAGATGTTTCCTGTGTAGTGATGAAGATGTTTCCTGTTTAGTGATGAAGATGTTTCCTGTTTGGTGATGAAGATGTTTCCTGTGTAGTGATGAAGATGTTTCCTGTTTAGTGATGAAGATGTTTCCTGTTGATGTGTCCCAGTCAGGTTAATAAAGTCCAGTGTCCTCAAACGAGACGATGTCACGTGTTTATAGACAAAATATGATGAAGAGAAGAAGAAGTCAGGACAGACGGACGCTCTGCTGATGAGACAACATCTGATCATTTATTACTATTGATTATTGATGAAGTTTGTGACAGGCAGGCAGACGGACAGACGGACGGACGGACGGACGGGCAGGCAGGCAGGCAGGCAGGCAGGCAGACAGACAGCTTCAGTGTGAGCAGTAAAGTCTGTCTCTGCGTCCTCACAGGTGGTCGTGGATGATTGACTGTTTACCTGTGTGATGTCATCAGCTGCAGGTGTGACAGGCTCAATCACAGAGCTGTGCGGTCGCACAGAGGCGCCACTCTGACTCACAACCCTGACACCAAAGGATGGGCGGGTTCACCTGCAGGCAGAGAGGGAGACACCACCATCATCATCATCATCATCATCATCATCATCATCATCATCATCATCAGTGAGACTGATCCTGGTTCAGCTCGGGCGAGGACACGTGTTGGGACATGTTTACTTTTGACGACCCTCATTCCTCAGCTGAGTCCAGACCGTCAAACACACCTCTGAGCAAAGATTAAAGGGCACGCACACAGAGAGGAGGGGCCTGGGGGGCCAGCTGGGGGGGCCAGCTGGGGGGGCCAGCTGGGGGGGCCAGCGGGGGGGGCCAGCGGGGGGGGCCAGCTGGGGGGGCCAGCTGGGGGCCCGAGGGACAGAAGACTCAGAGCTCAGAGACAAGAGCAGTTTAAAAACTAAGGTTTGGTTTGAACAGAAACGACTGAGCTGTGAGCTGTGAGCTGTGACCTCGCTGCAGTCAAACACCACAGAAGAAGAACCAGCTCAGCTCTCTGTTGACCTTTGACCTCTGTGTTTACTGTCACCACCCTCAGATGCTGTCTCCATGGTTACCTGGAGTTCAGACGTCTCATTGGCTGTGACTTCCTTCTGCTCTGTCTCAAGGTCTCACTTCCTGTTTCCAAAATAAAAGTTTCAATGCACCAATCAGACCGAAGGGACGTTTACAGAGTACTCTGACTGTAACTGAGTACTCTGACTGTAACTGAGTGCTCTGACTGTAACTGAGTACTCTGACTGTAACTGAGTACTCTGACTGTAACTGAGTGCTCTGACTGTAACTGAGTATGGACGAACGGAGACAATGTGTGTGTGTGTGTGTGTGTGTGTGTGTGTGTGTGTGTGAAAGGTTAAAGATCATTTACAGCTCTGTCTCAGTGATGTAATCCTTCAGTGTGTTTGAGAGCTGAAACCTGAAACTGAACTTCCTGTGACATCATGTGAGGCTCACACACAGGTGCATCATGGGGGTGCGTCAGATGTTGTTGACCATGTTGCTCAGATGTTGTTGATCATGTTGCTCAGATGTTGTTGAAGATGTTGCTCAGATGTTGTTGATCATGTTGCTCAGATGTTGTTGAAGATGTTGCTCAGATGTTGTTGATCATGTTGCTCAGATGTTGTTGAAGATGTTGCTCAGATGTTGTTGATCATGTTTCTCAGATGTTGTTGATCATGTTGCTCTCATGTTGTTGATCATGTTGCTCAGATGTTGCTGAAGATGCTGCTCAGATGTTGAAGATGTTGCTCAGATGTTGTTGATCATGTTGCTCAGATGTTGCTGAAGATGCTGCTCAGATGTTGTTGAAGATGTTGCTCAGATGTTGTTGAAGATGTTGCTCAGATGTTGATGACGTTGTTCAGATGTTTTTGATCATGTTGCTCAGATGTTGTTGACCATGTTGCTCAGATGTTGATGACGTTGTTCAGTTCAGTTTGTCCTTTCTCTTGTTGCAGTTTTCTATGAAGTTGCACAACCTTATGTCCTCCACATGACCAAGTGTTTACAGACACACTGCTGCTGTTGTGTAACACGCACACACACACACACACAAAAAGCACACATAGAGGTCAAAGGTCGAGCAGACAGTTCAGGTTGATCGTTGTTTACATTGTGTTGTTGACATGACTGTAAACATGTAAACAGACTTCATACAACATGTTGTCGGGGGGGGGCTCATAGGAGGGGGGGGGGGGGGGGGGGGGGGGGGGGGGGGGGGGGGGGGGGGGGGGGGGGGGGCTGGTGGGGGGGGGGGGGGGGGGGGGGGTGTCCCCGGGGGTATAAAGGGCGGAGGAGCTCTGACGGCGGCAGACAGAAATAAACCACAGAGGAAGAGACACAGAGTGTGTGTGCTAGCCGACAGGAACAGCAGAAGAAGAAGAAGACGATGGATATTCAGACGGGTCAGGTGGTGCGTCCCGTCAGCGCCATGGAGAGTCTGGAGAAGCAGCTGAGCTGTCCCATCTGCCTGGACATGTTCACCAAGCCGGTGGTGATCCTGCCGTGCCAACACAACCTGTGCCGCGGCTGCGCCAACGACCTCTACGAGTCCAGGAACCCCTACCATTTCTCCGGGGGAACCTTCCGCTGCCCCACCTGCCGCTTCGAGGTGGTCTTGGACCGGCACGGCGTGTACGGGCTGCAGAGGAATCTCCTGGTGGAGAACATCATCGACATCTACAAGCAGCAGCAGGAGAGCAAGACGTGTGACGGCGAGGACCCGCCGCTGAAGGACAAAGACGCCAAGGAGCCCCGGTGTAAGGAGCACGAGGACGAACGCATCAACATCTACTGCGTCAGCTGCCAGACGCCCACCTGCTCCATGTGCAAGGTGTTCGGACAGCACAAGGACTGCGAGGTGTCACCGCTGCACGCCGTCTACCAGAGCCAGAAGAACGAGCTGCGTTCTGCCGTGGAGGTGCTCGCCGCCGCAAACAGCTGCGTCCAGGCCGTCATGGCTCAAATGGACGACACGTGCAAGCTGATCCAGGAGAACGGAGAGCTGCAGCGGAGGCGGCTGGGCGAGAGCTTCGACTTGCTGTACGCCATCCTGGAGGAGCGTAAAGGCGAGCTGCTGGAGCAAATCGACCGCGAGGAGCAGAGCAAAGTGACGGTGCTCAGGACGCTGGCGGAGCAGCACAAGCAGCAGCTGCAGCTCAGCAACCAGTTGCAGGAGAAGCTGACGCAGAGCCTGCAGGCCTGCGGCGCCGCTGAGTTCCTGCTCGCTGCCAAGCAGCTGCAGGAGGAGGCGCGGCAGGCAACCGTGGCGGCGCAGCTGCAGGGGCCCGAGCCGGGGTACGAGAGCATGGAGCACCTGAGCGTGGACACCCAGCAGGTGGAGGCGCTACTCACCTGCATGGACTTCAGACAGGGCGGCGAGGACGTAGACCAGGACGCTGGCAGAGAGTGAAAGTTGGCGAGGACAGTTTCATGATGAAGGACGAAGACGGCGTCCTGGTCTAAATCCAGAGCCTGACAGAGAGCAACGACAGGAAGGAGAGTTGCTGATGGCACGGGTCGTGGTCGGACGGAGACCGGGAGGCCGACAGAGTAATGACAGGGAGCTGCTGCTTTTTCAGGAACTTCAGGGACGTGCGGAGGAAACGGAGTCCATTTTGTATTTGACTTTTTATACTTTTGTAATGTTGAATGTTTCGTCGTGGCGCTCGACAAAGTTTATATTTCCTGTGTTTGTGACAGTGAAAACGTCTGTGACTTTGAGGTGTGAATAAAGTTTGATTGGATTGATGTTTTGTCCTTGTCATCTGTCGGGGGCTGTTTTTAGCCGTGCACATGTTCTCCTATATTTACCGGTGTCAGTGAACGCCTCCTGGCCTTACTTAGTTGTCTGTTGGTGTAAACGCAGGCGGCGAGACGACAGGAATAGTTCCTGTCTCATGTTTCTGAGGGTGACCCAGCTGGACAGAGGCACGCTGGGAAACAGGCCGCGGCTGTTATCGGAGGACGAAGAGGTCGACCTGGAGCGGTTTCCAGACCTGAATCACATCACGTCACACTCAGTATGAGGTGTGAACAGTGCCACAGATACAGGATCAGTGTTTATTTTTAACAACAACAAGTAAACAGGTTTATTACACAGCAGATTATTGTCAGCATTAAGAGACGTCACAGACAAGTTTCATCAGCGTGACAAAACAAGAAGGAAGAATTTCATATCTGATATAATTCTATTTTAATATTTATATAATTCGTCTTGTTTCGTCCGGCCGATGAAACTCGTCTGTTTCTCGGCTCTTTTGTCCAAATTAAAGACGTCTTTGCTCCAAGTGCTCAGCTCCACCTCGTCTGAGTAAAACTTAACAAAACCTTTGAACTTCCAAAAAATAAAAGAGGTTGGAAACTCAAAACAAAAAAAAAAAAAAAAAAGATTTGTAAACTCCAAAAATAAAAACAAATACAAAACAGTATTTAATGTTTATTTTAATCTCTGTATTTGAAGATCCATTTTTGCAAAAATATTTTTGTGCATATCACATTTTCTTTATAGATATGTGTGGAGTTGTTTTATACTGACAGATGATTCCAGTGGGTGTGTTGACACAAACACCTCTGAGACAATAATAACTAATAATAATGAATGATGAAGAGACGTGTTCATGCTGACAGTGTAATAAATGTGTCTCATGAGCCGTCCACACGCACTGAGTTATTCTGATAGATGAATCTGATCCAAAGTATTTAACGCTGACACAAAGATGTTAACGTGTTCCTGAGATCACGGACTGAAAGTGGATCAGTAACCAGATCCAGACAGAATCCTCTTTAATTAGACGCAGTGACAAAAGACCGGAGAGACTCGACCTCTGTGACCTCCGCAGGACGCCCGTCTAAAGCTGGTCGTCAACAGGCAGGAGTCGTGTGTCGTCTGAGGCCTGATGTGTTTCACAGCTGGAGGATCAGGAGACGTCCGACACACTGACGTTGTGTTGCTTTGGTTTTCTCATCGTGTCTTTTTTTGTGGTTAGTTTTTTGTATTTTTGGTAAGTTTTTCTCTTTTGTTAAATTTGTGCATTTTGGTGATAATTTTGTTTCTTTAAGTGTTTTGTCGTAATGTTTTGTTGATTTTGTTGTCATTTGTCTTTTTTGTAGGTTTTTTTTTTTACAGTGTCTTTTGAGGTAATTCTGTTGTTTGTGCTATTTTTCCCTTTTTCTGGTAGTTTTGTGTTTGATTTGATGATTATTTGTCTTTTTAGGGTCTTCAGGGCTATTGTAATCCTAGGTATTCTCATGCCAGATATCCTCAGCTGTAAACTCAAGCCAACAGTCCTGATGGTGGCGCTACAGCAAGCGTCTAAAGTTCAAAACTTTGAAAATTCATAACAAATCAACCATACGTGCTACAACTTCACAACTTTCATCAAACTGTAGCCCCAATACTGAAGAAACTTTTGTACATTTAAACCTATTAAAAATTATGATCATCACTCTGTTTTTTTCAAAAACTGTAAAACTTCTTAAACCTATCTCCTCCCACAATTTTTGCTTAGTTGACACCAAACTTGCTACAGAGCATCTTCAGACTGTCCTACAAAAACTATGTTTCTCAGATTTTGGATTTATCAAAAATTGAGCCTACAGTGCATCAAAATGTTTGACTGTAAACGGTACTGTAAACATATACATGCAAATTCTTGCTAAATAAATCTTCAATGTTCATGAAAAAAATGACAAAATTCTAGAGTCATGGTAGATGATGTGTGGCAAATTATGGGCTTATGGAGCAAATCAATC